ACAAAAACCCACCAATTCACTATCTCAACAAATTAGAATACTTCATAAGACCAATAAAAACAAACATTTTTAGTGAATTGTTGGCGTTCTGGAAAGTATGTTCATTTACTGTACATGTACTCAATACTTGGTTGGGCCTCCTTTTGCATGAATTACTGCATCGGTGCGGCGTGGCATGGAGACAATCAGCCTGTGGCACTGCTGAGGTGGTATGGAAGCCCAGGTTGCTTTGATAGCGGCCTTCAGGTCATCTGCATTGTTGGGTCTGGTGTCTCTCATCTTCCTCTTGACAATACCCCATAGATTCTCTATGGGGTTCAGGTCAGGCGAGTTTGCAGGCCAATCAAGCACAGTAACACCATGGTCATTGAACCAGCTTTTGGTGCTTTTGGCAGTGTGGGCAGGTGCCAAGTCCTGCTGGAAAATGAAATCAGCATCTCCATAAAGCTTGTCAGCAGAAGGAAGCATGAAGTGCTCTAAAATTTCCTGGTAGATGGCTGCGTTGACTGTGGACTTCAGAAAACACAGTGGACCAAAGTTCTCTTTTCAGATGAAAGTAAATTTTGCATTTCATTTGGAAATCAAGGTCCCAGAGTCTGGAGGAAGAGTGGAGAGGTGTTTATTTGACAAAAAAGTAGTGAATACACTCTATTCGTCAAGGATAACACAATAAAGTTTAAAACAAAACATTGTGGTATTGTGGTCCTTGATGTAAAGCACAAACTTCACTCCCGGTAACAGATTCACTGGCACTGCATTATAAATACAAAAATTACAATAAAATTCCACATCTACAAAAATGTACAGTCACAAATAACCACGTACGTAATACAAATTCATCAACAAAACAACCTACTTAAGAACAAACCTTTAGCTTTTAAACTAAAACTAACCATATTCGAAATACCTTTAATGTCCAGAGGTAACTTATTCCACAAAAGTGCCCCAGAATATCTAAAAGACCTACGACCATACATAGTTTTAAAATGACATAATGTAATATCCATGAGACTTTGCCTAGTTTTATAACAATGTTGCTCATTTACCCTAGGAAAAAATACATTAAAATATGATAGATAGACTGGCGGACAGATAGACAGACAAATTGACAAAGATACATGGATGGACGGATGGACAACTAGACAGACAGATACATGGACAGATGGATGGATAGACAGACAGACAGACAGACAGACAGACAGACAGTCGGATGGATGGACAGACAGTCAGACAGACAGACAGTCAGATGGATGGATAGACAGACAGACAGATGGACAGATAGACAGAAAAAAACGGATAGATAGACAGATACATGGACAGATGGATGGAT